CTTCTGCAGCACAACTGAAACACCTGTGGGCAAATGAATTCACAACCTCCATCCATTTCCCTCCCCTATCCATTAAAAACAAATAAGAAAAAAACAACCAAAATGCACACAAAACCCCCAAACCAACAAAAAGACCTGAAAGTGAAAACAAAACCAAAATGAAAAATGAAAACAACAGACAAAAAGCCCCACAAAAAAACAAAACAACACCAAGATCAACCAAGCAAACAAAAAAAGAAACCCCAAACCCAAAAAATCCAAACCCAGTACTGTTCCTCCACTGCAAGCAAATGCAACTATTGTGACCACCTCGTTATCCCTATCTGGGCTGTTGTCTCTGAGTTGAACCTCGCTGTATTCCTTACTGGAAGGTTACAGTTGCAAGTCAATTGCCAGTCTTTCCCCCAGAAGTATAAAATAAGTTTACACACTTAAAATTGGTCAGATTTTTATTTATACTGCACACTCATCCAATTTGCCTCCCACAAAAATATCTGCCTTACTGATACCACAGGGGGACAAAATGAAGTTCTGGGTACTATCTACAAGCCTTCCATTTCTGAGCCTGACTGGTGACCTAAATAAAACTTTTCAGTATTAGGTTTTTCCAAGATGTAATTTATACTATGGCTGTCAGGAGTTAAGATAGTAGTTGCCATGGAGCTTTAATCTTTTTTTAGGCTTTAGTCAAAGCAAGCTGGAAATCAGTATGCTGGGTAGAACCCTGCTCAATAGAATTTTATTCAAATTGGGGCAGGATTTAATCCTAATTTTTCTGCTGAACATTGCTATCAAAGAATAGAATTCATTCTATTTTCTTCTCTTCCTCAAGAGATGAAAGTTTCCTTTCCAGATTCTTAGATCGTGCTACATTCAACCCAAAAAGTACCTGAGTTGGTTCCCCTCTATTCCTTCAACTGTAAACTCTAACTTTCTTCTAATCTTAATGTGCACAGCTAATCACTGCAGTGAAATTCATTCACCAGTTCTTCCATTTGCAGTGAAGGCATTCTGTAAGTATATGAAAGCAAAGCTTTAGGGAAGATTTTATTTTTCTATGCATACACTAATCTCTATACTGAAAAGCAGGCCTGTGAAACAGAAATTACAGTTTGAATCTATGTCTGTGCTACTTATAACTCCCTTGATGTGTTTAAGAAAAAAACCCAAAAGCACACAATGCATGAAGTGCATCTCTGAGAAGTACAAAATTGGCCATGCTATAGCCAGTAAAGCTCTTCTGGAACACAGCTGCAGCAGAACAGAAATGCAATTCAGTTTAATACTTGCATTTAAATCTTAATGGTTGACTTAAACCTGAACTTGCCCTATACCAGGTAAATTAAAAGAAAGCAGATCTAGGTGGAAAAAATGCAGAATTTTTTAAAATGATCTTTTAGAACTCTTACCCACCAAAAAAATTAGAAAGGATTCAGATGAAATCTCAACTTGACCTTGTGACTTGGATTCAAATGCAAACGACAGCTTTGAATGAAAAATTTCCCAGAATTTTCATTAAATAAAACTGTTTACTGCCCAGCTGTAGTGGCACTGCATAATCCTCAAGCTGTTCCAAAGACTGCAGAGTAAACAGAAAACTGTCACAGGAGAGAATTTCAAACTCCTTTCAACTCTTTCATGGCATGTACTATAAGAGTCATGATAACAGGAAAAAAAATAAAATACATATTTTCCCTTCTACAGTATGTAAGTGTGGGACTTGAACACTTGCACATTAACATATGTTTATACCACTGACAGCAAAATGTCTTACCTAACTAGCATTGGACAGAAGAACAATTGTGGGTTTGAGTGAAAGCTCTACTCATCAACTTCAGACGATCAAATGCAAAGACTTGTGGTATATTTTTTAGTCTGAGGTGTCAGTATCAAAGACTTGCAGAGATACTGGAGATGAGACCTCTTAATAAAAGAAATATTCATTTAGACAAGAGGGAAAAATAACTCCAAGCCATTAACTTGCTGATGTGGCCAAACTTATAAAGGCCCATCTCAGCTCTAAAAGGGTATCCGAAACAAAACCCTCATATAAATTCAGGGAAGAAAGAGGCACCTCTATTCTGAACCAGTTTTGAGACCTGTCAGTATCACATTACCATTTCTGGATGTGTAGATCAGTTAAACCTTGGAAGGAAAATAGTTAAAACTAGTTTGAATACAGAAGTATTATCATAATGCTGCAGGTATCAAGATGGCCTTAAAATAAATATAGATGGCAAGTATTAAATTGCCTGTTTTGCTTTCAAAGCAATATGCTTTCTCTTGTGTTTTTGTGTTTTGCTTTAAAGCTTATTTTGTCAAAATTAATCAAACCAGTCCACAGGACAGTGATCAAGAAACATTCTTGCTCCAATATAGTTTATTTTAAATAGCTTATAGGGATCTTTTACGGCTGATGAACCTGCAGTACTTCAAAACTGAAAGGCAAAAAGAACTCAGAAGAGCACTATTTTTTCAAAAGCTATAAGAAAACAAGATGTAACTAGGCTGAATTAGGATGCAATAATTTTCAGCATTAATTTTCAGAAGAGAGAGCCGTTAACTGTGTAGTCACATATACTTCTATCAATTTCCAAAGTATGTGTTGCCCAGATTAATTTTTTTTTTTTTTTGCAAAAAGATAGACTTACTTCATGAGACCAAATACGTATCTTGAAAAGGAACTGTTTAACAGTATTTTCTTTCCATTTTGACTTCACTAATGAGGTTCATCCCTTTAAGAAAAGTAATTCAACATTAAGAAGCAACATAAGAATTCTCTACTTACCTTTCTGATTTCATACAAGCATCTTATGTGCATCTTCAGCAATTATCATTGATCTTCTTTGGGAATGGATAGAAATCCACAAAATTTAGGTTTGGTTAAAAGAAAGGGGTGAAAGGCTAAATACCAGATAACATCAGATCTTTTCTCATGTATGTATTAACAACAAATTAGCTAGGTAGTTTAAAATAAGTAATTGCAGAAGCACCTAGTATATTTGAGGGATGCTGATAATTTGCAATATAAACTGAACTATTGCTACATTTAAGCAATTTTGTGTATTTAGGCAAGCACATGCCATTTCTGCAGCACTACCTTCACTGGAAGCCTTAAGAATTCCTATTCATTGCTAGAAGGGTCATTAGCATAAAAGAAAGCATCCCTATATTAGATATTTATCTGGACCACTTTCAAAATCTAAAATTTCCTTTCTGTAACACCCCAACATACACTTCCTACTTCAGCAATTATTTCAGATGAACAATTATATAAGGCTCCCAGATTTCCTCTCTGTATTGGAAAGAAGTAGTCTTGATTTATCCAGTACAAATTCAAGCACTACTTTTCCATATAAATCAGTAACATTAATAATTACAATTTCATTTGTACTTTGTTCTGCAACTTTGGTGCTTACTTAAGCAATGTTTATTTTTTTAATACTAGGGAGAACGTCCATTTTAGGTAAACATTAGATGTTCATATAATTCTCAAGACTTCAAATCAATCTTCTCAAGAAGGAAATTTGAGAATCCTTAAACCATAACAAATAAAAAAGGAGTCAAATGTTCAGAAGACAACTTACTGCCACTTATCTCCAACAGCTGGTCAGATCATTCTCCATCAATAGCCACGATCCAGCCCCTCAAAACTATTTTTGCAACCTGAGATCAGCCAGTAGGCCTGGAAAGCAAGGTAGGGACAAGGTTTACCCTCTGTCCTACCCTACTGATGGTCACAGCCCTTACAGGAGTTTCCTGCAGCTGTTTACTCACTGTGGTACAAGTGTCCCTACTGGAGCACTACTCCATAAATCTACAATTTTAGAGCAAAAATCCAAACCTCTGCCTTTAGTCCCCAGTACCTGGTAACTACTTGCAAATGCTCAATCCTGCTAAGGAGTCAGATCATACCTGAGGAAACAGGCTTGGTATTTTACTTACCTTATAAAAGCGAGCATGCTGTGCATTGATTTGTGCAATCTGGTCCGACAGCACCAAGGCTTTGCATCCTGCATGGCACATTCCACCCTCAAGCCCCAGCTGGCACGGCCCTCTAGTGGAGATGCAAGGAGTTCTGATGGCATTCATCCATCCCAGCTTGCTTTTGCTCATCTGCCTGCCTTCTGGGCTGCTCTCAACTCAGCACAACTGCTTTCTAATCAGGCTTGGCCAGAGCTGGTGTCACTTTTCCCTCTGTAGTGTCAAGGGAAACCTTAGCAGCAAGGGAGATACCTACAGGGACTTCTGAGCACTGGCAACCTACCCACAGGTAGCCCCACAGCCAGCCCTGCAGAGCTGCTGCCTGCCTTGCCAAGCCCACAGTTTCAGTCTCAAGAGCACCACAGAGCAGGAACCCTAGGACTGAGCTTTGGTACCCCACTCACTTCATTAGCATCTCCCATTGCAAAGGAGCAGCAACAGCTGTTTTCATCTTTTCTGCACCTCTCCTTTAAGGCATGGGGGTAAGGAAGTTCACTTTTAAGTACCACCCAAGTAGTTTTCAGATACTACCAGCATACTTCAGGACAACACAATTACATCACCTGTCAGAAACTTGCTGGGATTTGTCTGTTTGGCTCTGTGCCATGCATGCTTATGTTTTGTTTTTTTATATTATCCATTAACTTTTTATTGAAAGCTTTTGCCTTCAGGTTTTAAGATAGTTGCCCAAGTCCAAGAACTTTGGTGGTGTGCCTAAACTCAGGTTTGGCCACATGCACACACAAATACTACTTAAGGAAGGGCAAAGTTTACACCCCAAAGAATACCAGTCATGTCTCAGCTCTCTACAGATCAATTCTAATGAAGATTCGATCACATTTCCTGTTCCCTGAAATGTTAATATCCCCTCCTCTCAAGGGATCCTTCTACCATCTCAAAGCTTATAGAGAGATCATGTTAAATGATAAATACCGTATCAGGATGCTTGACAAAACCTATTACCAAAAACTGAATACACACCATAATTATATCATACCCAAAAACTGACTCCCAAGTATAGTCACAAAGACAAGAGTTTAATGTTGGCAAAAAAGAAAAATTTAAGTTAGTGGTATTTTCTTCCTTGCAATAACATACGGGTCATATGAAAGTCACTGGAGAGGTCTGCTCATAGCTCGGAAGACTTTTACAGTTACAGCTGAATTCAAAACCCCCAACTCCAAATGCATGATGTTAACACAAAAACTGAAAATGTAAAACCTGGGATAAAGAACAAACGTAGTTGTTAAAATGCTAGCAGAGATGTGAGGCCTTTCAACCCCTTTATCATAACATGAGTTCTTCAGTATCTTTCCCATCACCATTATTTCAGGATTCGCAAGGTTCTTTAAAATACTATTGGGGTTAAATTGAAACCAAGCGCCATCTGCTTGTAATGTCTTCTGTGAAAGGTCTGAAGCCACCCTGTTTCAATTATTTGGTTATTCAGTGCAGAAAGTTAAAGATCACAGAAGGTAGAACAGCTTTTAATACTCCATTAATATTATAGATTAAAAATTATTGCATAGTCTTATGCATTTCCTAAAACAATGTTCTCTGGAAATGAAACATTTTAATATAAAAGGACCAACTCTTTAAAACACAATTGCTTTCACTACCTCGACCTCCTATCCTTTTTTGATTTGTCAGTACATTTGTCCATTGTTTTCTCATTGTCTCCTCTGCACTTGGGGCAGTACCATTTTCCCTTTGGTTTGTACGTGAGTCCAACGCAGGAAAAGTGGAACCACTCAATAGGGCACTGTTCATTGTCACACCCTATCATTTCGCCATAAGACACTTGGTTGCATAAGCAGTAAGTTGGTTCATTGGGATCAATTGCAAATTCTACAGGTGAAACCTCTCTCTCCTGTTTGGCTTTGGAACGTTTTTTCTTCTTGGAAGATTTTGATCTTTTCTCTTTAGGTGGCTGATCGTCGCAGTCATCAATACCATTTGCTATGTGGCACAGGTCGCGGCTTTCGCTGGTTCGCTGGCGACGAGGTCTACGGGAGGATCTCTCTGGCTGGCAGGACTCCATCTTGGCCTTTTCTAGGGGCTTTTCGTTCTCAGACAGATCTTGAAAACACTGAGAGTGTGTTTCCATTTGACGGGCTCTATTCTCTACCAGTTCTAGCATCTGAGTAACTATTTGAATTTTTTCATCTCCAAGTTCTTGACTGTTGATTAATGCACGCTGAAGATGCTGCTGCAAGCGTTTCTTCTGCACAGGATCGTTTTCTGACTTGTATTTTTCATAGACATCATCTATTTCTTTTAAGGCTTCTATAAAATAAAGATAATCATAGGAATAATTACACAAGATGGAGTATGCTCGAGAAAACAAATATATTTCTAACTGATGAGAAATAGGACAAATCTTAATTATACTATACCCTAGTGGGTTGGATTGAATGTATCATTCAAATGCATGTGGTCATAAAATCAGTGTTTAAGGTCACAATCTGTTGCAAGAAAATGTTCTCATGTTCTAAAAAGAGCAAGCTCATTTTAGCCATTGGAAAAAGAAAGGACAACCCAAGAGAGGGGAGACCATAGTTGTTGAGGCATGGGTAATCCTCCTTCCACCTGAAACAGGAGGAATTTCTCTTATGAGTCCTTACCACAGTAATTCCAAAACCCTGGCCAACAAACCAAAGCAATAGCTTATTTTATCACATGAAGAATCCTGGAATTCATAGAGTTGTCATGTATCATGATCTATAACACTCCAAAATTAGTTTATCCAGGTCCTCTGCTTTCCCCTCTTATTCATATCAAGGTTTGGCATTACATTTTCAAGTAGACATAGTTATAAAAGGAATATGACAACTGAAGTTACATAATAGCAAATTTACAATCAGAATAAAAATCAACTTACACCCCTCAAAATACTTTCCCCATTACCAAAACAAATTACAGCAAGCTGCATTTTAAATCAGGGTTGAACTTTTCTGAATAGGTGACCTTCTCTTCAGTGCTTCATAGGATATTTTTAAGCAACTAGTAAACGAGTGGCTCACAGTTTGATTTCCAAGCTTTTCCCCTTCCAAGTCACGCAAAATAACTGCATGAGTTGCTGTGAATCTTTCGTTATATTTAGTTCCAAGAAGCAAGTTTAATGAACCTGAATATAAGATCAGCAAGTGTCTTATAAATCAGTCTGTACTCTATTGTTCTATATTGCTGGATTTTAAAATAGTATTTTCCAAGCCAAATGTTACACTAGATCTACACATAAAGGACAGAGGAGCTCCAAAGAGGAAAGGAAATAATTAGAAGAACTTACATGAAACTTGATGTACAGTGTTAGGTACAGTATTGGTTTAGTCAGAATTTAGGATTTTATTTGAACAGGAAAGGAGTTTATAAATGATAATAAATTATTTACTTCTAAAGCAAAAATTATGCAGTAAAATGTACCTCTTCCTAATGATGTGCATATAAATAATTTGCTTTCATTTTAAAAGATTTTGTCTGCACTGTTGTGAAATGATTCAAGCTTGTTATCTCAACATCATTCCTAGTGATTTTTTTCCTGCTGATATCTTGGAACAGTAGCTTAAGCATGAACAGCTGCTTTTTACTATAAATTCTGAAACCTGTATGAAAACAGGAGCCAACTGCATTTTGTTCTGTTCCAGATTTTCACTAAGGTAAGATAAAGACCACTGCTCTGCCTGTCCAGTAACTCGAACTGTATTTTCTAAAGATCAGCATTCCAGCTACTATTTAAACCATAAACTTTGTTTCCCTGTACCTTCAGCTGCATCACTTGCCTGTTGCCCTGACAAGAGAAATAAAATTTAAAAAAAAAAAAATCTTACTCTCAGCCCCTGAAAAACACAGAGTAAGGTACTATGTATGGTGTTGAAAAAAAAAAGGCATAACCAGAGTACAGTATTGTACAGCCATACCATCTCCCACCCCTACTTAATTTTTTTGGAGGTAGGAGTGTAGATACAGCTATACAGATTTCCTGTATTGGCAATGCCGTACCCAGAACCATCCACAATAGCTGTTCTCTCGTTCATACTGTGACAGAGAACAACATTCATCCTACATCGCTTATTGCCTGGATGTAGCCTGTAAAGATATGCTGAACTTTACATGGATCAACATCCACTAAAGAGAGCAAAGAAGTTTTGGACTGACAGTGATGGAAGTTTACAAAGCTTCTTCTGAATCCCCAAAGATTAGACAAGGCATTCATACACCCGAATAAACAGCTCTGAAACCTCTGTTTAAAAAACAAAACAAAAACACAAACAAAAAACTCCAACCCAAACCAGGACCAAGTGTTCATTACAGATAATCTGATTAAGTTTGGTGGAGCTAATAAATGCTAAAACGATTTGTTTTCTAAGAACAAGAGTGACTTTTGCCCTTCTCCACAGACCATCACTAGCTTTGAAATTAGCTGAAATAATATGGCATTGCTTTTACATTTTCAGACTTGGGTCTAAAATATTTTTATCCCATTTTCAGGGTTTTGAAGAATTTTTGTTGTTGCTTTTTTAAAACAGTATAAGGCTTTGGTTAAAACTATCAGTAAACTTCTTGTATGGCCCAGTATTGTATTAGTGGCTGGATAAATACATAGAGGAGATACAGTCTAAAGAATACATTTAATCTATTAAAGGCTGAGTGAGGAGTGCTGGCTAGTCACCACGAATCAGGAGGTAAAGAGCCAGCCTTGACTAGGAATTCAAAATGCTGCAGGCAAGTCTGTGCCGTTTAAACTTTAAATCCCAGGCAATTTACAAAAGCTTGTTTTTATGTGTCTTCTCGGGTAATTAGAAAGATAATTGAAAGAATCCCTTCACAACAGCAGCCTCCTGAGGCGGCCCTTCAATGTCTAAGAGGCCTTGACGGTCCCCATGGTCCCCTGCTGCCCACGCCGAAGGAGGGAGATGCGGTTCCAGTGCCGACTCCACGGGATCAACTTCCTGCCTCATGACAGGGGCCGGCCGGCGGCTGCCGGGCACCGATGTGCCCCTCAAACTCCGCGGGGCTCAGGGTCTTTAATCGGCATTGAACTTGCCTTCCGAAGGAACCGTGCCTTCGCATGAGGTTTTGGGCAACTTCCCGCTCCACAGCCTCCCTCCACGAGCCAAGGGAACGCTGCTGGCGCTTTATGTATCCCCGCCCCCACCGTGCGGTCTACCGTGGGACGGGCGCTGAGCTCCGCCGGGACACCGCCCCCCCGGCTCCGCACGGCGGGAGGAGCCGCGGGGAGGCCGATTTCCGCACGCCACCTCCAGCGGCACCGCCGCCGGTTGGGGCAGCAGGGCTG